GGATCCGCGGTGTGCGGCCGAGACTGGGGCCGGCAGAGCTGGGTACCCAGACCGGCTTCGCCTCTGCGGAACAGGCGAGCCCGCGAGCCCTGCCCGCAGAGTCCGTTTTCAGAGATTAAAACACCCGGCACATCTCTGCAGCCCAGCAACAAGTCAGCAGGGTTAGAAACTAGAGATTCTAGTAATATCCGGTGAAGGGATTCTTTGTGTTTTTAACAGAGTGAGCTGTTTGAACTGTGGGCCCGGCTTGTAGTCCGTATCGGGAGATTAAATTGAAAGGCTCCCGACTCGAATAGCTAACAATGCAGGAATTTTAGTGAAGATAAAAAACGATTTTCCCCTATAGGGTGCACGTCTAAGGTCACGCTTAAACAAACCCCAAATTATTGCAGCTTTAGGAGACATTAAATAGACGTGTGTAGTAAATACAGTCGGCTACAGCTTATCTACCGCCCTGGCGAAGGACGTGGTTGTGTAACGATTTCTTGAAGATTGCACACTTTTAAAAACGCCGATTTAAAAAAAAAAACTTTAAAAATGGTTTATTATAACTATAAGTAAATTCAGGTCACTGCTACGAGGTGCTGTCCTGCACTTTCAGGATGTTTCGGTCTGTGTAACATCCTCGTCTGCCGAACTCTTAACCCAGTAGAAATTTCGGCTGCAGCTGCCAAATAAATCGATTCGAATATAGACGGAACTCCATGAAAAGAAAGTCCGTTTATGACGATTTTGTAAAAAAAAACCAACGAAGCTCTGCTCATGGGATAACATTTGAAGATGTATTTTTTTTTGCATTTGGGCTTTTACAACATTGCAGACGCTTAGAGTGCAAATACACAGATGACAGCGACGGCAATAAAAAACACTTCCGGTGCTGTCGAGGCCTGACCGCATAAAACATCTAAGAGCTCAGTAACAGGCTGGGGGAAAGGGATACGCGGATTTACGCAGAAAACACTGAAACGCTGCGATAAATGTAAATATTTTAAATATGCGTGTTTGCGCTACGCCGATCCCCTCTCCTCGTTTCCCCAACCCCCATTTTTTCATAAGATACATTATATCCTCACAGCACAAGCGGGGAGCGAGTATAAATGCATGTTAATGAATGCGGAACGAGCGAGGTCACCCATCTGTTCACCTGAATGGAATGTAGACGTGGGCACGCGGTCAGAATCCGGCCCCCGCGCGGCCTGACGGCTCCCCGCGCAGGAAAATAACCAAAACGCCACGAAATAAATAAAGGACTGATCACCGCAATCAGATCAACGTGAGACCGCGGGCAGACGGTCGCACTGCGCATCTCAAATAGTGGTTATGAGTTATACAGATCATTTTTTTGGGGGGAAATTAAAATATTGGTACAGAAATATGAAGCTGTGACTGCATGTATGCTGTGCATTCGATACATTTCACGAGTTAAAAAAACGCCGTGACACAGACTATCACAGGGTTAAGTAAAGTACAATTTCAGCAAAATTAGCCGTCATTTAGCCTACTGTCTCTTTGTTTTCCCTCGATTAAACCAAAGTCTGTTGAAAAGTCTGAAACACGGGCCCGATACCCTTTCAATCATCAACACTGTTTAACTTCCGAAGCTCTTAAATCCGATAGAGCTGCTGGCTAATCGTCGTCCGTCCACGCCGAGGACCCGGGACCAGAGGCTGTGGACCCGTTGGACCGAGGGGAAGAGCCGACTCTTAAACAATCATTTAGTGGAGGGAAATTAGCGTGTGGTCGGAGGCGGGGGCATTGCTTGGTAGCCCTTCACAAGAAATCGTATATCGAGATATTAAATAACCATTCGCACAGTCGCCTCTCCCTCGCGTGTACAGACTCGTTAAGTTATAAGGTTAATTCCATGTCTGGAGACACCCTGGTGTCAATGCACGTCTCCTGATATTTTTCATATGGATCGCTTAACAGATGTCTGTGTGTTGACCGGGGTCTGTGGATTTTGGCAAAAAAAAAGAAAAGGCTTTAAAAAGGTGTTGCCTTAAAATACCTGGAAGGGCCAGTCTGTACGAAACACACCGTTCCAGAGGCGCGAGATTCTCATTGTACAAATCGTAAATCAGGAAAGAAACTGAGAATCCCTTTAAAAAAAAAACACTTTTATAGAAAAACTGTTAATGTAGTGTCTCTGATTTCAAGCAGCATGTTGCCCAAGACTTAATACCAGTTTTCTCTTTGGTGAAACTCTATCCTGGTTTTACATAATTGTGTAGGTATATTTACGTCAGATGTCTTAGGTAAATCGATTACCAAAACCTGCATGTGCTGACGTTTATGGACCGATCGGTATCTTAAAATTTAAAAGTGAGAATTTACATTTCCTAAACTGAAGTGCGTTTAATTGGCTTTTGAGAGATTAAGATCGCACCTGACTCGTGTAACATACATTTCAGTGCTCGGGTGACACAGATGGGTTACACTTTCCCAAAACAACGTGAAAATTCATAAATCACCGCCGACAGGTCGGTATTTGATGTATCAGTGATGGAGAATTGGGTTACATCTGACAGCCGAGGCCCGTAGGTTGCTCTCGTCAGACCAGGGCGCAGTTTAGCGCTCCTAATAGAAAGGTGTTTATTATTTCTCTTTATGAACACACTC